AGCTCACCAGCTCGCCTATACATCTTTTGGGGCCTGCCTCATCCTTGAGAGGCAGAAGTTCTCCCTCCTTCATTTGGGAGGGAGGAGAACAACAAGGTAATTAAATCTTGCTTTTTCCTGCCTTTCGACTCAAAGGCCAGTATAGTTCTATTTGCTTCCAGTCAATCATGACAACAAGAAAAACTTATTGTCTGGTGCCAGTTAGAGGCAGCTTAACAGTATCAACTTGCTCAAGGTCTTTCCTTCCCTTCAGGTCTTCAGCCTGCATCAAAGCTCTGTTAGGGGAATGAGTGCAATTAGGCAGGCAGATATGTGTGGACAGTCATGCAGTCAGGCAGATAGAGCAATCCTGGTTAAAAGGGGCTAACAATACCCGAGATAAAATACCCAGAGAGACACAAATGATAATTATATTAAGCTCAAAGGGACCTACAGGACTAGGGTAGGGCTTAAGGGAGAGCCTCTAGGCAAGCCTACCAGCAGAGCACGAGCTACTTAAAGGATACAAAATTAGTCTAGCAATGTCAGTTTTAACACAAAGCCAATTTACAAATCCACAACTGAGCAAAAAAAAACAGTAGTGTACAAGCAAGCAGAGGGGAGCTCTGTAAGTTTAGTTGTTTTATTTTGTTTCCAATTGTAAGAATGGTATCTCTCAGACATCTGAGTAGTGTTCCTTCCTTCCAGTGGTAGCAAAGTGGTCTTGCAGTGAGTAATCCAGATAACTCGTCTCTGGTGAGGGGGCAATTTTACCTCTCAGGCTTCACATTTCTTCTAGGTATTTGCTTGCCTGGACTGCCTACCTGACTGATTTCCTTTTTAAGTTTGAGAAAGGCAAGCAATGAATGCTCAGGGACCAGAATGATCAGTGCTGCATAAAAACTTGAATGGAACAGCACAACTTAAGCAATGCAGAGCCAAGAGGAGTTTAACCTTTGTCTTAAAGGACAGCAGCAGTATTACTGCACTTGCAAGTTAGTTGGCATTGCTGCACCTGTATATTATATCACAGGCTCACAGTTACTGGAGTCTGTTCTGTTTCAGCATTAATCAGCTGATTTCAATGCAAGAACATCAGCTAGAATAAAATATGTTGCAACTTTAGTTGCAATTATAAAAGGGTCAGCATTTCAGGCTGGAAGTGGACTGAACTTGGCTTCCCCTCCATCCCCGCTACACCAAAAGTAAGCAAAAGCTAAGTAAAAACTGAAGGACTTTGGTGCAATAACTAACACAAACAAAATTAAACAAAATTAAGTGATTCCCTTTGTTTGCTTTGCTCTCATGATATTCATCTTATGGAAGGAAAGGGAAAAGTCTTTCTAGGAAAATGTGGAGGGAAAAAAAAAAACAAAAACACAACACACCACTCCTGGCCTCCTGGGGCAAGCAAATGCTAAGTGATTTCCCATCTTAAAATATAAGGTTATTAGCTATCTACTGTGTCCTAATTTTTAATTGGAAAAATGATTTAATGAAATAAAAAACAACAACAAGAAGAAAATACACACATCAAAACATTCTGGTCCAAAATTATTGCCTCTATTGTTGACATGATTTAGCTTCCAGGAAGACAAAAGATTTAAGTTTGCCTCTTAATAATATTCAGGAAAACAAAACCAAAAAAAATACAAAAAAAAACAAGCAACAGTACACAGCTTGTTTTCCTTTCTGTTCCCTAGACTTTTGTTTCTCTGGCACACTGAGCAATCCAACAACAGATATATTCCTAATGGACGATATGTACGAAGCTTAAAAGGAGCTCACAGCATTGTGCGTGCATTAACATTCATAATGATAGTACAATACTCCATTATGGGTTCTAATAGCCCCAACTGGCAAAATAATACGATGGGAAATTGTAGCGTCTACACCTTATCAGCAGATGAGTGGCAGCCTGCTCTGCTCAGCTCCTGCACAGCTCTGCCCATGAGCACAGCAAACAGTGCCTCCATTCTATCTTTCTGAATAGCAATGCTGTGTTATTGTGTAAGTGTTGGGAAGAGATAATCCTTCATGAGATCTTTTCCACAGCACTTCTATGGTTATAAAGGAGGGAACACTTGAAATATTACAGGATTGAGAAATATGCACACTGCTTTAAATTCTGCAAACATACCCATAGCGCTATGCTTCAAAGTTCTCTTTGTAATACATCCTAACACATCCTAACACTGTCTCGGCCTGCTGTGCTTTACAGAGAACACCTAGAGCTAGGAGCATGAGCTGCAGCAAAAATAGTTTTCATACTTGTAACCGATAAGTGTCCTATTATCGCTCTGCAGAAGCCATCTTTCACCTTAGATCATTTACATAAAAGCAGAAGGCCAAAACAAAATTGTATATGGGTCCATCAAGAACTAAATACAGCAGACCAAACATTTCTCCAGATGTATTTCCACTTATCCTAGTATAATTAACTGCAGATCAGCAAATCCACTGTATTTAGACTTTATCGAAAAACTTGCATAAAAAGATTTTTTCTTATGATTTCAATAGCTTTATTTGGCTATTTACAAAATATAGCCAAATACTGAGGACTGTAGTGATGACTTCCAGAAGCTAAGAAGTAATGCCAGTAAAGGAATCAGTGCAGTCTTCTTTAACCATTGCCAATGGCCTACAGGATCTTTGGCCTGACCCATTTTGGAAGTATTTTCTTATGCAATTTATTAAATTTTAAGACTATCCAAAAGTTAGAGATGGAGGCCTTATGTTTCAGCCATGCTGAATTGATGGTTTACCATAGATTTATTGTCTTCCCTTTCAGAGTATTGTGATGAATTCTTATTTCCTCCCCCCCACCAGCGAAAGCGAGATTAATGTTTTCCCTATTGTTTCACAGGACAGCTTTAGGGTAAATACATTTTTCAGTGCACTCTGACATCAGAGGAGTGAGGCTCATACAAATCTCTAGGTAGGCAGGATATGCTGGCTCTCAAAGAGGATAAAGCTGAATGAATCATTCAAGACAAACAAGTATGGGTAGTAAGATCAGACTGATGACTCCAGCTGATTACAGCTGGACATGACAAGCCAATGCCACCATGGTAGGTTTACTTATACCAGGTCCAAAGAACAGGCTATCAAGGTTTTCTATTTCTGAAAAAATCTTAAGGGTGGTAACACTATTCTACCAGGAAGAAAAGGAAGATCAGTGATGGCAACAAGTGTCACAAGAAGTGAGACGGGGAGGAAGAGATATATATTTGGTAATGCAGTCTTTCTGCTACCACTTAGATATTACTGAGAAGTTAAATTAAAATATTCTCTACATCCAAGTAACAGGAAAAGAAATGCAAAACTCAGCTGTAAATACTAGAACTACCCATTGTGCAGTGGAGAGTTTTCATGAAGCCTACAATTCTGTTCTTCATGAGCATATTTCATATACTTTTCCATGCTTGAGCAAACACTCCTTTCAATGTGCGCAATGAAGCAATACTTATTTTGTAACTGGATAGACAGTGTTTGTAATAGACTGTTTCTGTTTACTTGCATAAGGCCCACCTTCTTTTAGCCCAAGGAACATCAATGTTAATAAAGTAAGTTGTGACAGCTTGGGTTTTCTAGAGCATTACACGCGTTGGGAACCTAGCTGTTTGCATTGCTTCTCTTTTCGTTGTTCTCAATAAGCAGCAAAAAGGAGCTGTCTGCTTTGCATCTTGTCAACATCATCAAAAAAAAAAAAAGCTAGGTAACATTTTGGGGTGGGGAAGGGAAAGAAATAGATAATGCCACTTAAAAATCCTTACTCCTGAACATTATGAGGGAAGATCCACTGGAAAAGAATTTTAAGTTAATCACATAACCATGTCTGAACATTACATATAACTTCATGAGTTCATGATATAGTGTTAAAATCCTTGAGCACAATGCATCCTAGAATTACATTATTCCTAGCATTAGTGGCATTTTTGCACCGCTAAGGACAAGGTCTTCTGTGCACCTTACAGCCATTGTAAAACTAACGGTCTAACATCATCATTCCAACATACCCTCTACGGCTGGGAAACTACTATTACTTCTGTTTCTTAGTTTATAAAATGCCAATACTGAATCAATAACACGGAAGCTTGGAAAAAATTAACAATTGCTATATTGTATTATGAGGTTGATCCTTGCTACTTAACATTTGTGTTCAAATTCAGTGCTTTGTACTGAACTGTCAGGATTCTCTCTTACTTTCCTTATTCAGGCATGGATTTGTGCAGTACGGTGGCAAAAACTTATGTCATTTTAATTGTGATATGATGAAATTAGAACCCCTAATGTGTTAGGTGCTTTCCTAGCTACAAGTGATGCATAGATCTACTCCAAAGAGACTTGATGCTAAAATTAAAAAAAAAAAATCTCAAATCCCAATCAGACAGCTCAAAAGAAAAATTAAGTGGGAATAACCTTGCTACATGTAAGAAGTATACTGCTGTGTACAGTTAAGTATTTAAGTAAGATTCTCTTTTTACAGCAAAACAGGTACTTTTATTTGCTAGTACTCAGCAACAGTATGCATTTCCAGTTCAAGGATAAGCAAATTAAGAAAAAAAATCAGCACACACACAAAAATACATTTTCCTTGCCATCCCCAGCTATCCTCTTCATTATTGACAAAGTAAAAGTCATACAGATTCTTACATACCAACAGGGGGAAGAGGGAAATGCTTTCAGCTTCCAAAAACGATACGGGACAGCACTCAGCTCCCGGCTATCAGAGACAGGGTGCTAGAACACTCCTTTCTCTGGCACCTGCTGCTACAGGTAAACCCTCCCCTGTGCCAATGAGCCTCTATTTCACTCTCATTTCTCGTGCTGGGATATAAGAGTCAAGTTTTACCGAGAACGCGTTGGTGAGGAGGGCACTTAAACAATTATTACAAAAGTCCTGATGGTATAAGAACTATAGCATCAACACTTCAGGGTGAAACCTGCTCAGCAGAAAAATATATTAAAAAAGTTCAATTTTAACTTCAAAAATTATGCCTGTTAAAAAGCAAACTCACCAAGGTACAGAAGATGCATTGGCATTGTGCTATTGTTGTCATCTGCTCCACAGGATATTCACCAAGGCAGAGCTTGCAGGACACTAATGGGTCAAGTACCAAGTCCCAGGTAGGCCTATATCTTGCTGTAGTCATTGCAGAGCCGTCTGAAATAAACAGAATAAAATTAAAATACTCTATCACCTCCTTATATTGATACTCCGTATATTTTTGTGTACTGCAGACCGTATTGTTAGCTGCTGCCTGCTAGCTATTTGGGAAAAATATGTAATCAGTGATGGCTAATCTGATAGTTATCAGCACATGCAATAGGCTGTACACCCCTGCCTACATATGCATATAGAAAGATGAAAGCAGAAGGAAAAGAATGTAATACATTGATAAAACCTCAAGAAAGTAAGCAGGAAACATTCTTAAGTCACAGACTTTGTTTAACATTACACACTAAATATCTTGCTCCCAATTCTTGCCATTTTCCCCACTAGGTATTACCTTTCTTTCACCCACATTGATTACCCATTCCTTGAAATATATTGAGTAAAGTACCCCCTGCCACCCAGGTCAGATTTTCACAGTATCTTTCATGAATTAAGCAGCTGTTATGCCCTTTCTCCAGCCTGATGATACTGCAACTGGCCAACACAGCCAGAAATTTTTGTTCCTAAGGGCATGGCAGACCGATCAGTTTGCTAAGTTAATTTTAGAAAGAATGATGAATATCAGTATCCTCAGAATTTCCTAGCCTGCAATTTTCTCCTAGCCCTTGCTATATGCTGACAGTGCAGCTTTGTTGCAGCAACAAACTGGGGCAAATGCAAACAGAAACTGTGAGCTTTATCTAATATCTGATGCTGTAATACCTATATATTACCCTCAGGACAGCAATAAGATAGAACTATGTCTTATACTAGACATTAGGGCTCAGGAGCCAGATGGAGAGCTGCCAAATGACTACTCAGAAGGAAAATCCCACACAGATTGTATTACTGCAAAGAGGAAAGCTACTTTACAAGTTATACATATATAAACAATCAAACACATTTAGGGTAATTTCTGTAGCATAGCCAGTCTTAATGCCATATTTATTAGTATCGTTTTGCCACAATGACATTAACCTTTTGAAAGTGGGAGATCCACATCCAAAGACTGCTAGAGGGTCTACATTATCTCCCCATTTCTTCCTTCCCATGATACGCTGGTTCCAGGCCTTCCCCACAGAAGCAGCGGCTACTCCAATTAAGATTTTAGGTTTTTTTTTTTTTTTCCATTGGCTCTTAACAGAACTTATCTTGCCTACCTCTAAGATAAATCTGTGAGCTTTCTAAGACCTCCAGAACTGCAACAAGTATCATGACTCATATGCCTTTCAGACTAGGCTTAGGCAGACGTTCAAGCAAAAGATAGTTTTTTGACCCAAAACAAATCACACTGAGAGTTCAAAGAAATATCTGTGAAGTCCAAGTCGTTGATATTCAGTTCACTTTGGACATGACTCCACCGAGGTCTCTTTAAACTCTCTAAAACAAAGTGAAGATTTTATGTGAGCTCTCCATTCAGTCTAACCCACTAGAAAATGTCCTTTAAAAAGGTACATAAAGGACACCAAAAATAATATTTACTTGTAGCGCTGCCATCAGGGAGAAGAGAGGGAGAGGGAAAAGACTAAATCTTATTTCCAGTGATATTCTGGGTCAGCTCCACTGAAAACTCCCACAACTACTTCAACACTTTTTCAAAGGAAACAAATGAAATAGTCCCGAAGAACTACACTTGAGTAATGTCTCCCAGTCACAATGAGAGACATGTTGAGTAGCCTTTTCTGACACTTTCATATGAAAGTCTGATATTGTGATGTTAATTAAAACCCGAGATTAAGGATATTAGACCACCTACTGTCAACTGCCATTGCTTTATCCTTTAACATAAAAATCAGCTAAAACAAGCATCTCCTTCCAAACGCTAATTTATTTGACATTTACAAACAAATTCATGAAGTATTTGAGAAGCAATGATCAAAACCACCAAAACTAACTCTGTTTCTATTAGTCTGAGTGTCCTTTTCTTGTCTTGCCCAGTTTATTGCATGTTATAATCTGTGGTTTAAGGCAGCAAGCAGATGAAAATAGGAGATGAACAAGAAGAGGGATACATTTAAATTAAGGATATACTTGCAGGTATCAGTCAGACCGAGATATTAGTCAGTTTTACAATGACAGTGTAAAATCTCACGCAATTCAGACTAAAACCTTGTCAAATGTCAATACAACACAATCCAGACAAAAACCCTAAACCCATACTTATTCAGTGTTTGTTAATAAGTGATAACATGGGGGAAAATTTAATCTTTCAGCTCCAATTCTTATACTTGATTGCTGTTGTCTAGGAGAGAGGCTTACTGGTCTCACCATGGTAGTTCCTCTTTCACAGCACAACTGTACCCTGACAACATTTCATTTAGAAATATTTTTCTTCCTTCACCTTCACATCTCAGCAAAGTTTGGTTTCTTTCAAACTAGTGTCCTGAAGGCCTCAGAAACTACCTGCCCAATACAGTCGGTACGTAGTCAGTGGCTCCAACTCGGTAACAACGACAGGAGAAAGCAAAAACAGACTTCCAGGTTCAAACGGCAGCAAGGCAGCACTGCCTCTTTCCACTTACCCTTCTCACTAGGCATGCCTTCTGCTGAGACCGCAACATATGCGGCAGAGAATCATTACCTACCTGCATTCATAGAGGAACATTAAAATATATAAATACTTCATGGCTTCCTAAGCCACTAACAAGAACTTATCACATGCTATCATAGAAAACAAGCCCCATATTGCCATATTACTATTTTTAAGTATGTCGCTATTTGAAATGAAGTACCAACAGCAGAAGATAACATTGTCTCACTATACACCTTTCACTTTAGCCTACTAAAGTCTTATACACACACACACTCAGTACAACCCAAATTACTTGCTGAATCTAAGTTAAAATAGTCTTTGCTTTTAGTAATAAAATATTACATTCACTGGTAAAGGAAAGAAACATCTGTTGCCACTGATGGCATTCAAGGAAGGGTGCAGAGGTCTGTCAACTAGCCTGTAGGAAAATGTCACAGAACATCTACCACTTTCCAGTGGAGCGAGTCTGTCCGTTGCGTACTCCTGTAAAGGAAAGTAGGGCACTAAACTTATCAGAGCGCAGACTGAATCTTGCTTCATGATCATCTGGCACACCGTCATAACTACATAAGTTTGCGTTTACATCATGATGCATAAGAAAAATTAAGGAATGAAAAAAAATAATTACGCTCCCAAAAGAAAAGCAGAGAAGAAAACATTTTCAGTCAAATTTGGAGCTTTCAGATCTCCCAGAAGACTCCCAGATGTTTCATAACTATTGTCTCTTATGATTTCAAACTGCATTTTGATGTTTTCTAGTGACACTGCATTACTTTGAGTGAAGCATGCCACAGCAAAAAGAACGAGAGGAGGCAACCAAAAAAAAAAACCTCTGGAGAAGTGGAGGGGGGAACCACATACACACTGAAAAGTATACACTGAGATACCTCCGTACAGGAGAATACCAGTTATAGCACCAGCCTGTAGAAAGTTTTGCCTCACGAGTCGGCTGACTGCTACAAGGCCCCAGAAAATATGCAGTAACGGTATACAAATATAGTTTGTGTTATCAACATAATGACACAAACGTATTTCAAATGATGATTAAGCTCTCTTACCTAGCAATCCACCTACTGAACAGATTTTACCCCAATATATATTTAGTTTGTTTAGATTTATATAGATTATCAAACTAAGTACATATCAATGCTCTGCAGGCCCTGATGCTGACTGCACTACAGACCATTAGAAGATGTGGCAAACCAAAATAAAAGTCCATCTTAAATTCAAACTTGGAACTTTACTACCATCAAGGTCAGTCTTACGTACATAATTTTGCAGAATGTGGTCCACAACTGTTAATACTGAATTTGTAAAATATGGCAATACAGCATAATTTCTAGAAAAGCATCCCAACACAAGGTGGGAAAAGGAATCACAGGAAATAGTGCTGAATAAAATATTACATAAGCTATCTTTTCATACATAATCAGGATGCTGACTAATTCTGCAAACGCACCGTGTGCACATAAAAAAGGAACCACTGCATAAAGAGATGAAAGTGACTGAAGTTTTGTTACTGGAACAGGTTAATATATTTAAAATATAATTGTTATGCATTATATAATATGGACATAGAAGGGAAAGAATCCATTCATTATTTCTGTACAATTAACTTAAAAAGACTTGCAATGAAGATAAACTGGAATGCTGGATTGTAACCACCTCAGTTTCAGCCTACGAACACCCACTATGTTGCTAAGTGAGAACAAATGGCACACTTGGTCCTTGGTAAATCAAGGACAGAACCATCCTTTCTTTCCTTCCAGGCTGCTGACAGCTGAAGAAGAGTGTGAGGTGAAAACAAAAATAACGTGACTTTTTGCTTCATGCAAGTCCTCCAAGAAATTATAAAAGGGGATGAATTTTTACTGCAACCATGGCACTGTAGAGTCAAACTGCAACTGCATCCAATTAACACTGCATTGATATATGACTAGTTAGGTGAGAAAAAAGTGACTAGAATATATAGTTGAATAAAGTTGTCATACATAGCATGCTTTGACTGATGGGTCAGTTTCACTGAGCAGATCTCCTAACAGAGCTTGCAACATAACTTAAATTTTAGCTTTACAACAGGGATGAGCTTAATTTCTTAAATTAAGGACTGCATAAGAGCTTCTGAGCCCTCTCCTCCAAGACAGCTAGTCATGTGCAGCTAAAGTCAGCTGCTTCAAGGAGTTTTCTTTATCAAAAACTATGTTGACTGCCATACTACGTAAAACAACTCTTACCAAAAAAAAAAAAAAAATCAAAGAAAGATTAAAATGGGATTTAGAATTGGTTCTCATTCCTATTGTCCTTCTTTGTCAAAGCAGTTCAGTTAAAATAACACAGGCTACACTTCTTCCAAGAAGAACACAAACATGCTTACTATAGAAAGCTACCCCTACAATTTCTCCAGATATTTTGCTTACGTGAGGGGAGAAAAATGCCCATTTCTAAAGTGGATTCATCTGCACAAAGGATTCTGCCCTGCATTCTGCAACTGGCACTGGCTGCCAGATCTATTATGTGAATAATTTTGATCCACGGTGACCTAAACAATTCTGAGCCTTCCTATATAGCCATATAATGCACGTGACTTGGCAGCTATCTCCAAGATCTCAGAGTTAGCAGGGGACAAGTTTATATGATTGAAAGCCTTCAGTCACCAACCTCAGAGAGATTCCTGCAATTCACATTTGCTTCTCTCTAGCATAGGTTGAACTTGATGTCATTTGCTTAGTTCCTAGGTTTTTCCAGGGATTCCCAGTAGCATTATCTAGCTAGGGAAATATGAAAGGAGCCTGCATGATGAAGTTCAGTTTAATCAGTTAGTACATTTTACTAATGTTACTAGTTTCCATTATACCACTGTACAATGGGCTTTCCAATAAGGTCATGTAAAAGCCCCTATATAAAACAAAATAATGAGTAAGTTCACCCAATAAGTAGATTTTTTGCTTATAAAAGTTGACATGCAGACTTAGTAACTCTCACCTATCAATCCTGGTTACTTAATGGTTCCTACCACAGCGTTATTTGTTTGCCTCAGTATCTTTATCTTCACAGAACTGCTTGGGAGGCAAAGTAGTAGTAGTTCTCTGTTAGATGTCAGGCAAACAATGCACAAAATACTGGATTTACAGTTCAAAAAAGTTTATTTTGCTAAACACCTGACTGTGACAGATAATTTTCCTTTTTGCTTTTCCTGATAAGTTAGAAAAATCATACTATAAGGCAAAGAGCTTATGAATATTTAGAGAGATTAGTTTGATCATGGCATAGATCAAAGGTTTTAAATATTAGAAAGGTAATAGCCAACTTCTAAATCTGCAGATATATATGAAAAAGTTGCCTATCAAATGAATAGGTTGGTGGAGGGTAAAAAAATATTATGGAGACACACATACACTCTACAAAAACATAAATTCACAAAGCTCCAACTTCTTCTAAAGGATACTAAAAACAGACCTGCCAGAACCTCATCTTCTGTCCAAAAGATAGCCACATGAAAGCTGGGATGCAGACGTACCTCACAGTGCAAGATCCTGTCTTCTATTCTGTAAAACATAGCCTCCAAGTAGTGTGACAGGGGCATGAACTTTAATGGGTCTGCATCTTCCTGTGTTTTTCAACAGTTCTGGTTCTACTATGGCTTAAAGTTTGCTAAATAGCAGTAACCTGCCATAAACATGCTGGGGCTGTTACTCAGAACACTGCACGCGGTTGTGAAAATAAGTTAAGTTATTTGATTTCGTTTGAAAGAATTTGTGGTCAGGCAGAAGGGAAGGTGTGTGAAAAGCATATTTTAATAAAAAAAAGGGGGGGTGAGATAGCAAAAAATATAGGAAAGATAGGGGAGAAATGAGGATAAAATAGAGGAAGAGAGCACTTCTCATTTGTTCTCAGAAGGAGAAACATATTTTGTGATACAGAGCACAATAAAAACTGAAGTGCAATTTCACTACATTATGCTCCCAACATACAACATCCCAAAGAGCTCTGGCATACAGTAACAAAGAAAAGAAGGCTGGTGGCAATAATATAGAACATTGCTCAGATCTTATATCTAGTTGATGTTCACTCTCCACAGGATTCTAGGATCCAGAGCAGCAGAGCACCTTAGGCAGAGCTTGGAAATCCCTGCGCCATCCCATTGCCCAGTAGCGGGGATCCAAGCTCTCACTTCACCTCTGGGCACTGTCTCGGTAACCAGAGCAAGAAGGTATTAGCCATTTGAAACCACTAAGCCAAGATGGTCTACGCTTTAAGAGAATCTTCTTCCACCTCCAAGCAGGAAAACTTGCCCCTTCATGCTAGAGAAAAGCCTAGACACTGTAGCACAGGTATTTGTTGCCTGGATCCGAAACCAACGTGGATGCAACACGAACATTTCAGAATGAACAGAATGAGACTGCCCATCTCATCTGTTCACCTGGAGAGTCATGAACCTATTAAAAACTCCCATTAATTCCAGTTAATTTCCAATTCCAATTCAATGCAATGAATCACTGCTTCTGAATACTAAGACCAAGACCAAGTCACAATCTATGAGTTAGTGTGGCAACCACCAAGCCCATGTCAAAGTGTGGAAGATCAACGGTTAAATTACTAAGAACTGAAGTGTTTAAGCGCTGTAAATATTTTAAAGAAGAAAGTAAGGTGCATCCAGAATCTAGGAAATAAGGATTTTCCCCACACCAGGATTAACAACAATAGCGTGTGCATTGTCAGTCTCCCTAGGTTTCAACCAACCAGAAATATGACATGATTGAGACAAAAGTTTGAGACAAGAACAGACCTCTGAGATCAAGCATAGAGATGAAAACAATTTAACAGCATCAGCATCATTAGTGAAATGTTCTTGCTTTTAAAATATCTTAAATCTGAGATTGATTCCCATCCTCTTGCTGGTCCTAACTACCTCAGAAGAAAAGGAGCCTAGGATGGCTTGACCAGACTTTAACACCTTAAGAGCTCTTAAAATGAGGTGAGGTGAAGCCAACCTGAAAAAAGACTGGTCCTGACCAAAGGTAATCGCCACATAAGCATAAAGCTCAACTGCAACAAACTCTGAATGCCAAGTGGCAGGGAGAAGTTAACTCACTGCTTTCTAGCTTGGGATGGCAAGAGTAATAGGCATAGAGATACTTCCACTATGCCCTAGATTAACACCTTATGTTACTATTATTTTCCAGAAATTAGTAAGTGACCCAGTCAAAAACAACTGCTTCTCTTTTCTTCCATCCTTCCCTATACCACTTTCCTAGGTTTTGATTTTCCTCTTCCCCATCCTTATCCTGCTTTCACTTCCTCCTATTCTTTCCCTCCTCCTTGCTTACAAGGAACTGATGAATTAGTGTGCCCTTTGAGCAGCCTGCACAGTGCCAATAAATCAGTAAGGAGCAGTCTGAAATGTTAACATACCGCAAGGATTTTCTTCTTGACAGCTGGCTCTTCTAGAACAGTAACAGTTATGTTTACACAAAGTCCAAATAACACCAAGCCTGAGCTCTGTGGGTTTTCCCTCTGTTGCAGGGAGAAAGGGAGGGAAGATTAAAAAAAAGCCTTGGAAGCTTAAAACTATAAACGATATTTAAAGCTATGTCAAATTATTCAAACAGTAGAAAGATGAGCAAGGGGAGTGGAGTCCCATGACTCTGTCCTGCTTCCAACTCTGTGATGCTTAAAGAAACCAGCTGAGCAATTTTCTTAGTTCCACCAGTCAAAAGGAGATCAAAAGTGTCTTTTACCTTGTAACTCTGTGGCAACACGTGTGCTTAGTGTTATGGTGAAAGTCAGTGCTGTATTTGCATAACACTTTAGAAGTCTCAGATGAAGGAACAGAGTAGTTAAGAATGAAGAAAAAAAAAAAACACTAACAAACCCCCTAAATCCTCTTATTATCTCACTTGCATAATACCAACAGAGCTCACATCCTAACAACTGTTCACATCCTAGCTGTAAGACAATACATATACAAGTACCATCCCTTCATACTCTACAACTGTACCTTGAAGATACTTCTGTAGCTGAAAACAACATTCACCACAGTGGGAAGAAACTGTGTTAGCTTACCCACAGCTAACTTTGTTCCTGTGGCTCAATAAAAATACCAATCAAATTCCAGGCAGATATTTATGAAAGACAGCATTTATTACAGCTTACTGTTTGGACAGTGGGGTCTCAGCCCCATGCCACAGCTTTGCCCCTCAGAGATCAGGGTGTGTGATTTTTTCCTTGCTCTGAACAGTTCATCTCCACTGACAATATTAAGAGGGAGAAGAATGAACAGAGCACGTGTAATCAATAGTGCTAGTAAGAGAACATTGCCAAAGTACAGGAGAAGAGAAGGAATCTTCACAGAGAGAAGGAAACTTCACATAAGTGTTCTGATTACTTAAAGCTATCTAGAAAACAAGAGAAAAGATGTAAGTGCACAAACAGTCTAAACACATAGGATGCTGAATTGCTTTGAACATATAGTTCTGCTGCTTGTCTGCAGAACTAATGGCTTCTATAACACCGTATCACATTGTCCATTATTCAAGACCCAGAACTGCCCTTCTAGTCTTCAGTGGACACGAAAGTACAGCAGATTTTAATTAGATGTTATAGTATATAAGTTATCCCACCAGGTTAGTATGACACACACTAGACTAAGCATAAGGAGAGACTTAGGATAGGATTCAGTCTACCTAAGATAGTTACCTTATGCCTGATGCATAATGATGAAGCCTGATGCATAACGATGATGCCTGATGAAGCAGCTTTTCCAAGAGATTATCGCATAGGTTACCTACGGAGTCAATGGAAAGCAAGTGATTTTGAAGGCCTTCAGGGCCTTAGTTATCTCAGTTAAAGGGGGCGGGAAGTGCATGTGCATATGCACACACGCGTGCACACACGCACCCCATCATCCTTCTGGAGGAGTTCCATCTCCTGACAATAAACCTAATGAAATTTAGTCTTGCACTGTGCAGTGGACTGCACTAAAGAGCAATAAGAAAAATGCATTTTCCTTTCAAACGCTGATGAAACCTTAATAGTATGCTTTGCACATCCTGCCAATGGTATCTAGCATAATCAACAGTACTAGCTGCTCAGTTTCTCTCCTTAGTGTCAAATTCTCAAATCTTTTCATCCTTCTGCTATCTATTATCCATTTTTTTGATTTTATGCATCTCTCTCTCATAAGAATCAAGTGATATGAAAGATTATTTGATAATACAAATAATTCTCACAACAATTCCTATTACACTCATCAGCACACATTTTACAACTTCTCACCTGACAAATTTGATGGCTCAGGGTTCTGACATGTAAGTCCCTCTCTCCGCCTGCTGTTCAATTCCTATTGCTCATTTGTCTCTGTCACCCTGAAAGCTATTTTTTCTTTGTCTTTTCATCTCCTTCTCTATAATTCTCTATAATGTTGTTGCTCTAATTTTTCCCCCTGCTTGAAACACACTGCCCTCTTCCCATCACATCTTCTTGAGCCTCACCTCTACTGCACAAATTAACTGAATCAAGGTACCCTACAGCCAAATAGGAAAGGTCAGATTGTCCTGCCAGGGAACTGGCTTGGAATAAGTTTTCCTTCTCTCTCAAGGAAAAAGGCATTTTGCCTTTTTTAGCATTGTGGTAACAATTTTAATTATATTGTGGTCTCTTTTAGTATCTCAGCCACATTAGCTTCTTGAACAAGATGTTACTTGTTTCCAAGTTTCCTTCTGCTTGTTGCAGGGATTACATGTTCCAACTACATTTCTCCAAATCACGTCCTGATGTGGCATTCAACCAGTATATGCCCAGACAACAGAATTATACAGAAAATAGTCACTCCCATGTGACAATACCGCCACGGACAGATTCTCATCAAAATGCTATTATATAGTAAGGGTCAGATGTTTGATTTGGTCTAGTTTCCTATCTTATTGATTGTCCTGGTCAAGTGTATTTCCTTCAAGAAACATAATCCAAAGAAAGTTCTTGACTTATATCAGTATTACTACTAAGACTACAACAGAAAACATGATCCAGTGGTTAGAATATTACCTCAACTGTTGAATTTTGCACTAAAAGTCTCTTTTGCCACAAATTTGCTTCATAACTCGCACGGTTTACATGTGCCTCATGGGCAGTCACATGAGCTGGCTACCATCAGCCAGGCCAGAGGGTGAACATGCAGCACATTGTCCATCTGCAAAGGGAAATATGCATACAGACAGTTAATCACAGCACTTGCCGTCTTTCCAAAGGTGTAACGTATTAGCCCCACAACCCTGACCAGAGCTCTGATCTTTCACAGTAACATTATTGCCTCATAGTAATACTAGTAAAGAGTAGTAGTGCTTTTTTGCATATTGAACAAGTGTTTCCTGTATAACACATGTACCGGTTTACTACAGAGACAGGAAGCACTGTAACACACCAACTGCATGTGGCAGAAACGATGCATAAAAGTAACTGCAAACAACAAAAGCAGGAAGACAAAAACCGAAGGACCAAGTAGTAAGAAACGTACACAGAGTAGAAAACAAAGGGAAGAAAGGAAAAGGCTCAGATTCACCATAGTGGAAACGCTTACTTCAGGGCTTCCCAAAATAAAGTCATCAGTAGGTAATAAGTACTTATAAAGCAGACATTTGGATTTTGAAAACATGCAAAGAAATCCCATTGGGATTTTCTCCATACTGCTTTGTAAACGTCAGCATAACTCAAAAAAACATTGAACACTTGGCTTTGCTGTAGAGTTGAGATTAGTGAAAGTGATAGGCTACTCAAATGATGAGAATCGCCCACAAGTGATTTCCTTTTCTCTTAGCACTGCTAGAGCATAGTTACCCCTTCCCCAAATTAATACACACATTACAACAGGTAATCAGAGTTCTAGTGTGTCATGTCGGTGACATGATGCATATTTATACAAGTTGTTTTTGTTTGTGGCTTTATGCACACTACTCGCATTCTGCTAATATATGGGTTTTACCTGCCTGTGGTTCTAGGCCAAAAGAATACTGAAACGTAATTCTCATTGCAACTTTAAGGTTGCAGTGTTTATCTGCTTACTGGCAGAGAGCATACTAGATACACAGACAGAAAACATGTACTTAGGAATTACTCTTAGCAGTTTCCCAGCACGGAGACCTGATATGCAGCACAAAATGAGGAAAACTTGAGGAGACTTACTCTGACAAGGGGGGAAACCATTCCTAGAGTAATTTAAGCGTGTGCCCATCATTGTGGGATTCTATAGAGAAGAGCTTTAAAAAAAAAAAAAACCCAGAAATATAAGCAAATGAAAAAGAGCTTTCTTAGGTGAGTCTCAATGGGTTTTAAATAAAGTTAAAATTACCAGAATTTTATGCAAAATAAAGAAGTGACACTTACATTTAAAGCATTAGACACATACAACAATGTATTCCCTAAGCCACTTTACAAAGAGAGCTCCGACGTGTCCAAATGATCAGTCCATTATCAAAGAGGTCCCTGAAGTTTGTCCCATGAAATGTGTCCCATGATACCCATGAAACAGCTAACAGCTATTAGGAAACATTCCTCTCCCTCCATAAAACATCTGCTTCATGCCTCTCATCCTGGAGATCAGTTATGTCAGAAAAACCCTTTTCAAAGGCTCATCAGATACTCAGATGGTTACTCTGCACTATCCCAGCCAGAGCAGCAACAGAAATCAAGCAACTTAGCTTAAACACTGGGTCAGCTCTGCCTTCATACTGTAACTGTAAGATGCCTACCAGGGTCATTGTCACCCTCAGACTGCAAAATCATCTGTGGGAGAAAGAGAGACAAACTTTGTTTTATGTTTGCACAATGCTTGCTGCAGCAGACCACAGGCTTCAGAAAGTTAATACGAGCAATAAGGTTATTAAACATTTCAACTAAAGCTAATATCACAACTACTAAATCCACTGCCTCAAAAAACGTAAAAGTAGTTGAATGTAGCGGGAAATTATTTACTCTACACCCATTTGGTTCCGGATATATCTTGGAAACAGTATTTGAGCAGTTTTGACTCCTGCAGTTTCTTCCCTGTTGTATGCAGCATAAAAATAAAGTAATTGCATCAACTTCTTCACATTATTTTAAAGTTAAAAAGTAAACCAAAAAGCCTTTAGTTAAACAAAATTTCACTGGAAAAAAGTTACTATTAAAAAGGCTGTGTTCAAAAACGGTAGTTAAAGATATTCTACATTTTTCAGAGGCCGCTTGTTGAATATTTTAGATAGTAGGACTCTTTCCAAGTTCAGCTCATGCTTTCCTAAACCAAACAAAATTTAAACCACAGAACTCTGCCTTCTGTTCAGCTTCTGGGAAGATCACAGATGAACTTGTTCATTATGGTCCAAGCCAAGTAATGTGGTACAACAACGGGGGGAGGAGGGGGAACAGCTCTCGAGACATAACCCCCTATTTCAGAAAATACACTGTAATAAAAAATGAATTTTTTGGTAAGTTTTGTAATTATTGCTTTCCCCTGTTTACTTTAACGGCCACCGTAGTGTTTCATGTTAAAGAGATAGTGAAAGAGAGCACCCACGCTGGCCCGACGTATCGGGTTAAAATTAGAACCAGCATTTAAAAAGGAATCACTCTAGAGGTTCTAAACTAAACAACATGAATTACAGCCTACTGCTTAAAATTAGCTTTTGTGGTTTGTTTTTAAGATATTCCTAGTAACAAACTCAATCTGATTGCTCTCTCCGGGTTGACTTTACTGCACCTAGCAATCTAGGAGGCCAATAATAGAAATTTCATTTAAAATATGGCTGTTAAAGTTCCTAAAGATGGCCTATTACTTGAGTGAGCTGAGTCTCAGGTCTGAAACCGTTCTCCAAATCATATTTTCCTCTTTTTTTCGGTAGGGCGTAGGGCAGCAAAGGACAATAGAAGCGTTTGGCTAGGAGTTAAGAGCTTTACAAGCATTTAGGATGCAGTGGTTTGTCAATATTAAAACTAGACAGGAAGAAAACTTTCAGAGGGAGGGAAGATAGACTACAAATGTATCTTTTCATTAAAAAACAAACAAACAAAAATCCCCAAACACACAAAACCCAAACATTAATAACTAAAACACCACTATGGGAGGCACACAGAAGACACAATGTGAGCACGAGAAGGACATGCAGACCAGGAAACATCCAAGTACAAAATTTAAAGACACATAAAGCATAAACCAATCACGTAGTGCTGCTAACTATGTGGCTTTTAGCAAACGAAAAAGAGTAACTAGCCATTTTTAAAAAGTGTCTGATAAAGACAATTGAAATCAGTAGAAAAATCCACAATACGAGAGGATCTGATAATGAAAAAAGGGAAGAGAAAAAAAGGGAACAAGAGCTGGACTTCAGGCCGCTGGATAGCGACCCGCTTCCCCCAGTGCCTGGCCAGCAGCATAGACTGCGGGAGCTGGACACAGCCCTGCAGCCCTCAGTGACAAACTAGACCCAGTTCAAATCTATGGTGAAAAGGCAATTGAATTGTGTCTGCACGTGGTGGGAGAAGGCAATGCTGATGCCTGCTGGTGAGCTCTTTGACTAGTCCTGCAAGAATCAAGAAGCCACAGTTCCCGAACTCCAGCAGCAGTGGGAGCAGGCCAAGAACCTGGCCAGAGGGGCATGTAACGCATGAGGCAGTGCAGTTACCCCACGTCACAGACAATTTGTACACTCTCCTGCCTACTGTGCTCTTTGAATAAAATGTTTTGTTCTGGGGATGTTGGTTTTGTGTTTTGGTTAAGAAAAGCATGGCTGAAAAGCGGGTGTTGCCCTTGGAACAGAAAGCAGTGAGGTCTCATTGAGAGGGCACCAAGTTCCTGGAGAAGTTCATGCCGCAACCCCTGAGAAAATTCACTCCCATGCAGAGCTCAGTGTGTTGTTGTGACAGACCCTGTCACTGGCTGTGCTCCCTCCTCATCCCTGGATTTCTGGCTGTACGTAAATAGGATTCAGCATCTCAGTTTCATAGAGACTTTAAAGGGTCATATCTGACCACTACTTAATATGCAGGTTACTCAAAGCGGAAAGGCACTCTTTTGCTATAGTAATAAAGGCTGAAGGCCTAGGGCTGAAGCTCACAGGTCCTTTCTCTGAGATGCAGAGTTCTTCGGTAGCTTCATTCCCAACTGGCAGCTCCTATCCTGCAGCAGAGTTTCAACCTAACCCTCAGATTTCATAGGAAAAGGAAACTGGATTAAGACAGGCAAAAGATAGGATAGAATCAAAGGAAAAGAAAAAGAAAAAAGAAAAAAGGGAAGAGCTCAACCTCTAGTTAATGAGCATGCAAAGAAGATTCAGAAAATGAGATGAGAACAAGCATGACAAAGGTTTTTAAACTAGTAAGCAGACAGGATCAATATACTACACAGGAGAATGAAGAACTGATTATAGAGATTAAAATTAATAAAACCTTAGTGTAAGCCCCTAAGTTCGGAAGGGTGACAAAAGTTTATCATGCATTGGGACTATAATGAATTTGTGTATGTGCCATTCCAAAGAAGCTGAATAAGTAGAGGTTTTGCTTATGAAAGGTCAGGAACTGGACTTTGTTATGTAGCAGCAAGACCTTTTCACATGAGGCAGACAATTGCTGTAAGGGCTGTTAAGTAGTGGTTGTCTAACTTTTTTATGAGGGTCAAAATACAAAATCGTAAAACTGCCAGTATATTCCAGTACATTTAAATACTGGAATCCTACTGCTTTTTATGTATCTGCAGTAGTCTGTCCCTCTTACTCTGTTCTCACACACTGAACAGGAGGACGAAAGAGGAAAAAAAAAAAAAGTGAGAGCTTCATATCCCCAAGTTCACTGACTTCTTAACAGAAAGCCCCATCCCTTCTTAACAGAAATATGGTCAGTTATACACAGCCTGGAACTAACCATTCAGAGGAACAATTTTACACACACAGCATCTGTTCAGAAAATAGATATTTGCAGCCAGATTTCAGTTCTGCAGAACGCAAGAGAAAGATGAGAAGCAACTCATTTAGTTTTTAGCATATGGTAGAGTCCCAAAACATTTTACTCTGCCTGAACTTACTATAAACCAATGCTAGGTTAAACGCTCACCACCACCCAAATCTGCAAACAAAGAAAGTCCCAGTATTTGACATAAAACCTCAAAGATACAACCTATAGCAATTGATTTCAACAGGATGCTAGGCTCTTCTACAGTAATAATACACATTCCGAACTAGGAATTAGAAAAAATAAAATGAAATAGATTGTAAATTGTTTACCTAGTTAGAGCCATTCTAGGTCATTTTGTACAAATCTCAGACCTGCACATATAAATAACTAGGCAAACAAGAAAGGAACACAGATGGTTCTAAAATTAGCTGATGTAGTTTACTTTAAAATTTTTATTTACTATAAAAAGGTCATTTCTCACCTTCAAATCTTTCTTTGCTATCAGGGGAGATCTGCCGTGCACTAAAATTAACAAACCAGTTGACTTTTCTACCCCTGTTCCATGAACTATAATTAAAAAAAAGTTTACTTTGTGGCTCTCACCACAGAAGGCGCTTGTCACCTCTGCAGTATTGTTCTTCTTTCCTGTCAGCGGCTGAAAACATCACTACTTGACCTGTATAGGCAGGCTATATTTACACCTCTACTAAATTTGGCTTCACCTATCAGAATTTCTACATTGGAAGCAAGACAATGAACTTATCAGTAGCCAAAGGCACTGCTTGGCTACAAGTTACAACATAATAATAACCAAGCAAATTATGAACGCGTCACTGGAAGGAGAGCATCCATACTGCACCCTTATCACTCACTCGGTCACGGTACACTAACTCAGTCACAGGGATCTCAGCTGTCCTTTGGGTTGCCAGCAGCTGTGTAGAAAGGGTTACCTTCACTGTTAACATCTTAAGCAAAGCCAGTATTTTGATTACTTCCTTCTACAGCAAAGTGAAGCATAGTAACTATTTTAAGGTCGTGAACAATGAGACAGAAACAAACAACTCTGTAAGAAAGCCCCACAATTTCAAGCCAACACTAGGTCAGTGCAGAAGAATTTTGCCTTTTACCAGCAAGCTTGAATTTCCCCATCTGCTCCCTTCCCCCAGCTAAGGGGAGGAAAAAAAGCTACATCTATGAAAGTATCTTTAAAGACAAGATGTTGTACAAACTTTTCTCTAGACAGTTAGGAAAGGCCAACGTGTTCTGTCACTATTTTCACTATAAGACTGACATAGTGGTGGGCTCCTGCCTGCCAGACTAGAGGGAGGAAAAAGGAGGGGGGAAAAAAAAAAAGAGAAGAAAAAAACCAGACAATACTCATCTGCTTTGCATGCAATAACTGAACTATGTTTTTGTCCATTACACAAATACCACAGAGGTTATCCATATGCCACAAATACTTTCCAGTATGGATCTTTTGCCAGCATATGCTCCATCTCAGTGAAATAGAGTAGGCAGGAAGCAGAAAAATAATTTAAAAAAAAGTAACAAGTGAAAAGTAACACTTCAGCTGCAACCAACAGATACAATAGATCCACACTTGTTTCAATATGACATTGAACTTCGGTTTCTACTAAGGGAGAGGGGAAAGCAAAACAAGAAAACCACCCAGCTCTGCATGCTCTTCCTGTGGAGGAGGACACAGGTCCTCTTAGGCACTCTGTTCTTTAGGCACACTTTTCCTCTTAGATTTCAAAAGAGATCAAGATGAAAATATTTCAAACTT